ACCAGTTTGTATGGATAGGTTAATCACCTCCCACTGAGCAAAGACACAGAATGTCTGCACAATGATCATGCAGACTCCGATATTTGTAAGGTACCAGTTTGTATGGATAGGTTAATCACAGAATGTCTGCACAATCAGTTTTGAAAGTTACTCTGAAAGCTTTAAATTTCAAATGGAAATATTTAACAGAGTAATTGCAATGGCTTCCTATGCTGCTTTCCCTAATCCTTTTACATTGATTACTTCCAGAGTACAAGTTTAATGATGTTAGAAAGGAAAACAGGCTAATACCAGCACCAAAGAGAAAAAGGACCATTCAGAAGTTATTTATTAAATTTATTTAAAAATTCATATAAACTGATTGTGTCTGTATGTGGCACGGCTACAAACAGTTGCTTCTGAATTAGTTTAAATAGTTCTACATTTCACAACAACATACTCTAATCTTCACCTGGAAATAACAATCCTACTGCATTCTTGCTGATGACAGCAAAAACTCCAACTAACTACAATAAATTGTAGTTAAGATCCACACACTCTGGCAGTGAGTTTGCCTAAATCTACCATGATTTCTAAGCATACATTTAGAAACACACTGGGGAAGACAGAGAAAAAAAGGAAGAAAGAGTATTTTCTGTACCTGGCAAGTCTGAAAAAAGGAGAATGCACTCATTGAATCCATTAGCCAGAAGACGATCCCTCAGCTGTTGAAGTATGGCAACTCCAATACAGAATGGGAAGGAGGAATTTCCAAGCAGTAATGTATCCCACAAGTGAAAAATTTTGTGCAAAGGAAAGACATCTGCATAATGAATAAGCACAATAAATAAACTCTATAAGCATATACACACAATAACAGGGTTAATGAGTTGCCTATGTACTTTCCCATCTTGAGTGATTTCTTTTTTATTTAGGAGCAAAGAGGACTCAGCCTGTTTAGGATCATGTTTGTGTTCATATGAAGTTTGATTATTCTGTAAATAACAGTCTTCTTAATGAATACTTGGAATCACATTTTGAGTATGTCAAGAATTAGGCAATTTATTTTTCTTTTAGTACAGTACAATTTACATATTAAGGCATGCATATCCCTTCTTCACAATAAGATGACACTAACGAGTTAATCAATAAGATCAACTACTTATAATTAGACAAAAAAAATGAACAGAAGAAAGAAAAGATTGGCAGAATAAAAGAAAGACAAGGAAAAAGGCCTACTAAAAATAGCAAGATTTTATACATAAAGCTAAAGGTTATTCTCTTAAAATATACCATCTTCCAGCTAAATAGTTCTAAGACTTTATTGCACTTGATTGTTAAGGAAAACATCTCATTGGTTTTCCAAAGGTAGTGATTCTCATGAAGGCTATAGAAAAAGGGACAACTGCAAGAACCAGCGCTTTACAGTCAAAATCTTTAGAAAATGCAATCAAGAATCTCACATGAAGTTCTCTGATATTTCATCAGAGAAATAATCTATCAGCTCTTTACATTCTGCCACTTTGAAAATCTAAATTCAACGTCTGCCAATGTTGATATGACATGAAAAAAATCAGAGATTTTTGAAAAAAAAATCTAGACTTCCTAGACTTGATTTATTAACTTTTTCTCTTCAATTAAAACCCACCAAATTAGTAAGATCTTCTTTTTTCCTAATACACATGCATAAATATAGTAAACTAGTTATACCAGAATAACAGTGTGTTAATGTGCAACAAAAATATGATTATCTTCCAAAACAAAGTCACTCTCTTTCTTACATTATTTGAGTGATGGCAGGGGATGGTGGTGTGGTTTGGTTTTGCTTTTTAACTATTATGACATCTTTTTCCAGTAGATAACAGCTTCCTCTGAACACACCCTAAATACTGCATGTGTAAAATAATCCAGACAATAATAACAACAGCATAATGATTGTATAATAACGTAACAATAACAACAACTCAAAACCACAGGAGAAATACTAATTATTACCAAATCAGGGCAGAAAGTAAGTGACAGGCACTGCTGAGTTTTCCACAACACATCCTTGCAAATTATAAGCATCCTACTAAATGACCTATCATACCAATTAAGAAAGGTTTTAGCTGGAAAAGTGAGAAAAATTAAGCTTAAGAAATAGAAGAACATTTAACTAGAGGAAGAAAAGGCATACTCACGTGTAAACATTGTAAGAAACCAAGGAATCGCATAAAGCTGCCAAAGGTGGTGATGGGGGAAAGAAGACAAAAAAAAGTTTTGAGAACTCAAGTTGTCTATGACAATTGTCAGCTACATCAAAAATTGCCTATTCTGCATTAATTCTAAATTAATTCAAATTAATTTAGAAAGGAAAATAACTGCAGTGGCAGATCATCTATGACACAACTCTTAGCCTCTCAGAAACTTTTTTCATCCCCAAATGTTTCAAATTATTAGTTTGTAACACTGTATTGAAAACAGTAAAAAACAATCACAATCCTTACTAAAATATAACCTTCAAAGTCTTAAAGAACTCAAAAACCTACTCTACTAAACTGTTGAAATTCTCAATAATATAAGCAAAAATTAGCCAAGGATGCCTGAAAAAGCACAAACCAACTTGATTTAATGTATCTTTTTGACTAGGGAAGAAAACAGTTTTATAGAAATAACTAAAAGTTCAAATCATGTTTTTCAAGAGAAAAAAATAACCACCTCTGCCTTTTTCTGCCATGCTGATATTTATTAAAATGCATACTTGCCAGTGAAGACATGAAGGACAGTTTCATTCTCAGTAAATGCTCACCAACACCCAAGCATTTCTGTAGTGCCACTGTGACCATTTTGGGGCAGTGTCACCCGAAGGGGTCCTGCTTCAGCACTTACACCCCCCCGAGACTCGTGCTGCTTTAATGCCTGCAAGCTTCCATACTCAAGATATCATACAGAGAAAGAGCTAAGCATTTATGACACCTTAAGAACTTCTAATTTTTCAATGATGCATTTAGCAAGGCAAAGGCAAGAAAATCTCTTTTCTTAAAACATCAAATTGCGCAGAAAGCTTCCATAAATTAGGAATGCAAGAGCGAGACGATCATTGTTAAATTTTACTCAACTGCATGGCTCATGTGCTATGAAGATTTACAGTTAAACATAAAGCTTAATATATTACTTTTTAACTCGTAAAAAGTGCAAATTAATCCTCCTATTGAGCTTTTCCTGGAAGTAAACAAATGAGGAGCAGAAAACATAATTGATATTATGTTAATAAATTACTTCTTATTCCATAAACCCTGAACTGGATTATGGCTCTGACTAAATGATGTACACATTTGCTGAAAACCTTCTTAGCACAGCTCTAAATTATATTCCTATGCCTTCACCTGCATGCCTGAGATCTGAACCATACTGTCCCTAAACTAAGGAAGGTTCAATGACCTGTTCACCACTTCTAATATTCAGCAGGATTTTATGAAGATTGACCTCCAGCCCACCAATTGATTTTAAGCATTCAAAATCCAAACCAAATCAACTTCTATCACCATATTATTCTTATAATACAGTCATACTATTTCCCTCAGTATATCTATGACATGTTTTAATTCTAGGAATAATAAGATATCCTGTTCCCTGAAATATCCCCTGCAGTGGTTGTGACCAGCTAATATTTGTTAATCTGCTTGTTTGTATGCAATATCTTGCCTCCCATGCAGTAGGAAAACCAGCCTAGTGTCCTGATGCTCCTCTTTGCTTGGAGGTACATATTATGCAAAGCACATTATTTCCTTGGTATTTAAAAGAAATTATTTCCTCTTTTTCATATATATGATTTAAATGTTTTACCAAAGCAGATCCTCATTTTCTCCAAATTTCACAAACACCTCTATCATGCATGCATTTACACAGAAATAAACAAGAAAATACATGAAATGTGAAGCTTTGAATATTATTAAAAGGTAATTACAAGGAAAATCACTGCTTTGCTCTAAACCACCCCCACCAAACCTAACAGCAGTGACATAAAAAGTAGGTCAGACAATTTTAAGTAGAAGGTGTCAGGCGAGCTTTTATTGAAGGGTACAGTCATACTATTTCCCTCAGTATATCTATGACATGTTTTAATTCTAGGAATAATAAGATATCCTGTTCCCTGAAATATCCCCTGCAGTGGTTGTGACCAGCTAATATTTGTTAATCTGCTTGTTTGTATGCAATATCTTGCCTCCCATGCAGTAGGAAAACCAGCCTAGTGTCCTGATGCTCCTCTTTGCTTGGAGGTACATATTATGCAAAGCACATTATTTCCTTGGTATTTAAAAGAAATTATTTCCTCTTTTTCATATATATGATTTAAATGTTTTACCAAAGCAGATCCTCATTTTCTCCAAATTTCACAAACACCTCTATCATGCATGCATTTACACAGAAATAAACAAGAAAATACATGAAATGTGAAGCTTTGAATATTATTAAAAGGTAATTACAAGGAAAATCACTGCTTTGCTCTAAACCACCCCCACCAAACCTATCAGCAGTGACATAAAAAGTAGGTCAGACAATTTAAGTAGAAGGTGTCAAGCGAGCTTTTATTAAAGGAAGTTTTTCCTCTGACTTGAACAAAAATAATGCTTTAAGACAAGGAGGTGTTGGCAAGCCCGAAGAGGTTACGGATGCTATTAGCAAGCAAGGAGAGGGAAGGCACAACGCTGTTCCCCGAGGGCAGCGAAAGGGAAGCAGGAGCGGCTCCGATCCGGGACAGCACTCGGGACACGGGACTGCACACAGCGCTGGGGAACGCTGCCCTCCAGCGGCCGCCGCCCGCAACAGCAACAGCAGCGCGCCGCGCCCGGAACAACGAGCTCCGGGAAAAGAGGATTTCAACCCTGCAGTGCTGAACCCCCGAACCTAAGGGGGGTCTGGTTTTACTTGGCACTTAACTCTCCCGAAGTACATCTAATGTGTAATCAAAGTAGCATCTGAACAGCTGGAATAGCCTGAGAATAAGCCACATTAAAAAAAGAGCCTGTAAAATCAACACATTGTTTTTTAGAGAGACCTTGAGAGGAACAGTGCCATCATTATAATTTTGCTTTGTATCAGGGAGTAATGCCACCCATGTTCTGCCTTTCCTTTCCTTGCTTATTCATAGCATTCATAACTTCTTCAGGCTTACAAACACCTCCTTGTCTTAAGTCATTGTATTTGTTAAAATCACAGGAAAAATTCCCTTCTATAGTAAGTAATACAGAAAAAATGTAACTTTTTTTCCTGCATATACTTTAGCTGTACCATATATTGCAGTGCTAAATCCAAAGATAAAGAGGTTTGTGGTTTTTTTCTCCTATTAAATGCCTGTTTAATTTTTTTCCTATTTGATGTATGTGTGAAACAACATTGTACAACAATAAGCAGAATTTTGTTTTGCTAAGTTGTTTTAACAACTGTCCCAACTGCTACTTTTTGCTTTAATTCTCTGTTGTTAATAAAAGCTATATTTTTGCTTTCTACAACTTCTTGACTGGGGGGAGAGTGGAGAGGGAAATGCTGAGCTCTTCTCCCTGGATCTAGCAACAGGATATGTTGGAATAGTTCAAAGCTGCACCAGAGGAGATTTAGATTGGACATTAGGAAGCCTCCTTCTTTACCAAGAAGGTGGAAACACTGGAAGAAGCTTCCTAAAGAGGTGGCTGATGCCCCAAGGCTGTCAGTGTTCAAAAGGCAGTTGGACTATGAGCCTTGTAGGACCCTTCCAAAGGAAATTGTCCATTCTACAAACTCCCGATCTTTCACCTTCCTGCTCCACATTTGAGATACAGACACAAGTACTTAGCTTCAATCCTATATGGTGCCTAGACAATCATACATTTAAAGGCTTCAGAAAGGTGCAAAAGATAAGGCAAATTGAATCACATTTTTAATATGAGATTCTACCCACCTATATGTACCTACACAAAAAAAAATTGAAGAATGATCACTTTCTTCATAAGAGAAAAGTATCAGCAATTCATTTTCAGGTAATTGTGTAACAGGACAAACAGAAAAAGTACTTCAAGGGCAGGATTTTTAAGATGAAGCCCTGTTACTGACACCTCGTGCCTATCACCAAAACCAAGCTAACGTATCTACCTGTGCCAGCAGCTTCAGCACAATGATATTAAGGAACTGCAATCAGTTTGCCTTCTATGTTAGTGGATAGATGACAACTGTGTCTACCTTTCATAACCCACAGGTGAAAGTGCTTTAGAGTAATTTATGGCCATCACTGCACTTTTACCAATATTATACACTTCTTTGTTTTTCTTCATTTTCTTTTTTAACATGGTCTGTGTTATACAGCGTTATATAGGGTGGGGAAGAGTATAAACTTTGGGAGAGTGAGCAAAGAAGAACTGTAAGATTCACTGTATATATTATCCCTCTATTTATATGTAAATCACATAGCCACAGCAATGTACTTAATCCAGGCACCACATCAGCTAATAATATTCACGACGACTCAAGCTTCAGCAGGGTTCAATATTCTGAGAGCTACGTGACCTGAAGAAAATGAGAAGGGTGCCAGGAACACAATCTTGCCTGCAGCAGAGCCTGCGTTTTTCAATGATGAAAGATTAATCAGGGTTTACTTTGATAGGATTAGTACTCAAGCACGAAACTCTGGTTCAGATCTCATTACTACACTGCACATCCTTCACCTTGATGGATCCTATACTGCCTTGTTACAGTCACAAAAAATCACCTTTCTGACTAATCTAAAAGGCAGAACAACTTTTACTTAATAAAAAAACCCCGAACCCTGACAGATAATTCAGAAAGGACAAACTCTCTTCAGAGGTTAGCGTTAATTTTAGAACCGGCATTTTTATTCAATGCAGGAGTTTTAAAAAAACATTCCTCTTTTGCAATTGTTTATTATATTACCTAATCATCGGTAGATGATCAGATTTAGGGACAAGGCTCATATATGACTATGTACTGTTCAATGAGTAGCACAACAGAAACTAAAATATAGCAAAATGTGATTTCAAACTATTCCATCTGACTTGTACCTTGGAAGTCTTCAGTGGAGAATTATAACTATATAGGCAGACACAAGGAGCAGCTGAAATACAGATAAGACCCAAGATGGGCTGCTGCAGAGCTCTGGTGTAGATTAGTAGCCCACACAAGAACCTGTAACATGGTCAGGGAAATTACATCTCTAACTCCTTTGTGGGAATTAGCATCCTGGACAAAATGCACAGGTGAATTGTTTTGGTCATCTGCAGCTTTTAAAAAAATAAGCATCAAATGCATTTATATAGTGATGCTGCAAAATTGATTCTCCCTCAGGAATGTTAAATGTTGCTGTTAACCCTTGCACTTCATCTACCCAAACGTTTAGGTTTTCTACAGATAAAAAACTACTCCTTCTCCTCACTTTCATCTTCCTCCCACCTATCCTCTTCAGATGTATGTCATCTGAAATACATGTGGCATTCTCAAACTCCTCTCTTTATAAGGCAATACACTGGCTTTCTCTTCTACTCATTTTAACACCACTGTGTCTCCTAAATTTGTATCAGTCAAATAACATTATTAGATTAAAAACACCCTCTACAAACAAAAAAGATACTTTCTTTTCTATTACAATATTAATAAACAGTGATAATGAGTATCTGCCACTCCCAAACTTCCACAATTTCTTTAAGGAATGGTGTAAAACAAAGGACTTTCAGAGGCCTGGTCTTGATGCTCCAACTTAAAGTATTTCCTAATAAGCATTAATAAGGCTTTTCTGATAAGCTAAACTTTGTATTGCTTATAGAAGTAATGCATATAAATTTCTTACTTATGAAATTTGCATTTCTACATCGACATCTCCTGAGTTCAGTTATCTTCTTCCATTTTGACCTCTCAGTCATCATCTGCTCTTATGACCAACTGGTAATTACCAAATTTGTAAATGTCACCTATAGAATGATGTAGACCATATCAATTAACATTAGCTCTACAGCTTTGCCTAAATCCGCTGTTCAGAAACATCAGGATTTGTAGGCAGACAAACATTTTTATTTTGGCTTTCTTGACTATACCCACCTCTCCAAAAAAGGAGAAAAGCTTTACTATTACTTTTACTATTTACAGTGATAGTTAGAAGTGAGGCTCTAAAGAAAGCCTGGTTTTGCTTTTTCCAACAAAGCCCATCCTCTCTACTAGTTTTTGGCTGTGTTCTCTCTACTAGTTTTTGGCTGTGTTCTTTCTACTTCATTTTCCTCCATCTAAGAGATTTTTTTTTCCAATGGAAGCATAAAACTTGAGTCTATGTTATGCACTTGCCCCATATTTAAGATTCACTCCAGCAAACGGCTGCTTAGCATTTTCCAAGGTCTGACACATCTACAAGATTCATGAGCACGGACTTTTTCTATAACTTGCAAAATAATCTGGAATTTGTTCTAATCAAAAGCATCCAATTAACTGCAGTAATTTTGCTATTAGCACTTTATGAGTACACTAATTTTTTGTATATTTACCCACATTTCAAAAATAAATGTATATATACCTTTTAAGATGAACCTAAGTTATAATAACTGGCTAGTAGTATTTTTATTGTATTTACCATCCCAGCAGAGCAGGAAGGACTAAAGCAGATAAAACAATAATCAAAATTTTATCAGCGTATTTAGGAAGGTCTATTCATATGGAAGTTTCACTTCTGTCAAAATGCTACTGAAGCAGCTTGGAAAGCCATCTCATCCCTCATTTTCCATTTTTTATTTCCTCTGGATAATACTTATAAGGACCCTTAGCACTTACATCTGGAATAAACCCAATTTCATTGAGGTGGTTACTCAGCTCTGGATCATGGAATGCAATCATCTGGGAAAACACCGTCAGGTACTCTGAAATGACAAATCCAAGACTGTTGTCAAAAACACAAGCCACCACATGCTGCTAGCTCACAACAGAGCTGTAGGAAAGCCACTCATTTTAAACCTACAATAAAATAGCAAGTGAATACCACTGCTGTACTCCTTGTTACCATTACATTCAATACAGAGGAAGAAACATTGAAATTTTCTTTTTTAGTACTTCTCAATTTGGATTTTTAACAATGGTTTAACTTTGCACACACTTAGGTTGTGATGTATGCTTGACATGCAAAGTTAAAGACTGTTTAGTAACCAGCAAGGAGAAATACCCACTATAAAAGATAAAATTTATTACATTTTCAGCCTGGCCTATTAGGTTGATGGGTACAATTTCATTAAGTTGTCTAAACAACACTTGCTTTTAATTGGAAGAGAAGCAGACAGTAGAACACAGGACAGTGACAGATTTCTCTCTGTTCTGCCCCTCTCCCAGTCTTGTCCACACTGTCACACACTCTGTTAGAAGAAAGCTGAAGAAGCAATAATTGCAATTTTGTAACAGATGGTACTTCCTTTTCCTCCAACATTCCCAAGAACAGAGTAATTAGGGCATGGACAGCTAGAGAACAGGGGAGCAACAGACAGAGAATGCAAACTCTGTTTCCAGAATGTGCTGGCATCTCAATGCTCCACACAGTTTGTATCTACACAGAAGACAAAAAGCAGCTAAAATTGCAGTGGGTAGTTAAATGACACATTCTAAACCCTTTCCTCTACCTTAAAAAGGCAGGGAAATGACACAGCATCTTCCTTTAAACCTTTATTTATACATTTTTTTTTAACATACAACCCTAGAGAGGATTAATTAGAATACTGAAAGAACCCTAAAGAGCCCAACCTTCCTGAGTCCTTGATGATGCCAAATGCAGACCAGGAACTCAGGAATGTCTACACTACTTTGTTTCACAGAATCCTACTGACCTGTATTTCTAAATTTGGCTGATACATATTTTTGCAAAGCTCCTTAGGAATAACATCAGGAAACCCTAGAGAGCAAAAGTATTATTTTATGGAACACTATAACCTCTTGAGAAAAGTCTTTACCGAGCTTAACAATCTTGAAGTCTAAAGTAGTTGTCTCCAGAGGAACATATTTATTCTTTTCCTCTTTAGACCTTTAATACAAGCAATCTTTCTTTACAGACAAAAGGATGCAAACATGTTCTCTGGAATAATTTTTCCCATTTTTTTATTCAGTTTATAACACCTCTTGCCCGTTGTCTTCCATACATAAACTCTCCTAACCCTGGCATTCTCTTATGTTAGCTCTCTCCCAATTATCTAATATGTAAATGCTTTTAAAGTTTTGTTGACCAGTTTTTAATTACCTTCCTTGAAGACAAAAATGACAGACACTTTAAAGATGACAAGTTTCATATGAAATATACAAAAAAATTTATTTAAAAGAACTACAAGGACAGCAAGCCATGGTGATACTCAATATTCAACAAACATTCATAACTGCTTGCAATTAAAAACATTAATTACCACCTGTTTCTTTTAATTACTAATGGCTTTTGAAACAGCTTCTTTTGTTTTTTAAACTGTCTGGAAGACAAATTATTTCCCAACACAGACTGTGTCAAGGTGACTTTCTAGGTGGAGACTATTCCTTTTCATATTTCCATGAAATTTAAAATTACTTTTCAATTAGAACAGACATTCCTAGCTATTGTTTTAATTTATCTAAGTTACCTATACACTTGTTGAAGGCTGAACTATGGAACATTATTCCTCAGGGTTTTCCAACTCCTGTCCTGTATTGAATAACATCATCTGCTCAATAAGAAATTCCCACTGAATCCCTATTTTCCTGAATACCATAACTTTCATTTTCTGAAGAACCCCTATTTGTACTGTTCTTCTTCATCTTCCCTTATTGTCCAACAGCTCCTCTATCACAATGACTTTGATCACCTGAAGGGTAAGCCTCTACAGTGTAACACTAGAAAGACTATTTACTGCTTTCAGAACTCTGCAGGATGGACTGACTCTTACCCTGGATATTACATAGAACATTTTTTTGTGTGTGCACTTCCTGATTTTTTTTCCTGTCTGAATCCTTAACCACTTACTTTGTTCCAAATTTTCTTGCATAGTTACATGATTTTAACTGTATCACAATTTTGTAACCCCTTGAAAAAGTGTATTTACATATCCAGAAACAATTCTACTTCTCTTACAACTACACCAAATAAAGGGAGTGACTTACCTTGAATAACATGAGAATTATCCTTCAGAAAGAAGTTATACAAATACTTTGGAATAAAAGCAGACATGCAGGCATATGCCAGAGCTGAAAAATTAAAAAAAACAGATGCAATGACAGAAGCAGAATTTAATTACACCTTAAAAAGTTCATTATTAACCAGATAATAAGCATAAATACTTAAATCAATCTGCACACAAGAATTACTGCATGCACAATAGATATAATATGAGTCATTGTCCTAAGAAACTAGTTTTACCACACAGAGACCTTACATAAAGAAAGCCAAGTACAAGACAATAAAAGCTTGGACTACACCTATTATGAACAAATCACATTCTAAGAAGATAAAGATCATATATTTAAAGCTGATCTGAAACTTTCAGGCATTTAAAACTACCATCAGCTTTTCTGAACAAAGCTGGTCTGACAGTTTAACACTTAGGTGACCAAATAACATATTCACCTTAAGCAAGGCTGAACTACAGCTTCACTGAAAAATACAAGTGCTACAGCAGCATTTCTTCCTTTTTCTATTCAAGATTATTTGTGCTTTTTAAAATATATCATTATTGCACTTGGCAATAAACAGCACTTGAATCCCTGCTTGAAGAGCAGTACACGACATGCAGTTTTCAAAACTCCAACCATTTCTTTTGACCTGTGGCAACAAGAGCTTTAAAATTCCTTTGTAGATACAGAAACTTTCCATCTCTAAGTGGATTCACACATCTGTCTGCACACAGATACAGATGAGAGACTGTGCTTTTCTTTGCTCACTGCAGGAAAAGGAACTCACCTTCATTGTTAAAATTCAAGTACAGAAATGGTGCACAAAGAGAGTCAAGGCCTAAAGAGAGAAGAGCCATGAAAGAACAGCACAAAAAGCTCATTTATTTTAATACGCAAAATAAAGACATTAATTTCTAATGAAAATTTGCACACTAGATAGTGATTCTGCATTATCAGGCCTTCACAAGTAATGGTGAGAACAACTGTGAAATATATGCATGAAAACAGCAAGGATTTCAAATTGTTCAGCTATAATGCCAAATTGATTATTCTGCTAAGGCATCCAAGAAATGCCATTTACTGTTCCAAGAACCCAGTAACTTTTGCAGTATTATCTTGGAGCTTAATAGCAAGCAACAGACTTTTCTTTTTAAAATACAGTGACTGAAACTTATGAAGACTGAATATATAACAAAGAGTAGGGCAATTTTTTATTTGAAATTAAATATAAGTTATCTGGATTTAAATTTGCAATAACCCACAGATTCTTCAAGGAAGAATCATTCTTCAAAGGAAACAGAAAGGAAAGCACCCCAAAAAAGGCTTATATTGTGGGGGTGAAAAGCAGGAGGTACTTTTATGTCAATCAAAGCTTTCCTTTCAATTATCCACCCTTGCCAACCAGTCAAACTCACCCTGCCAGTACACCAAATTAGGATGGGAAACAACCCAGGCCTTCAATACACGTCTGAACTTTGCATGACCCTCCGGTGATGACAGCAGTTCATCATACTGATGGCAACGAGGAATATCAACTTCAATCTGCACCACAGCCAAGCATACAAAGAAATTGGGATGAGTGGGACAGCGCTACAGCAATCTTGCAACACTAGAGGTAGAAGTCAGCCAAAATGCGTAGGTCAGACTGCCATCATACATGATCTGCTTCCTCTATCACTCTCAAAACCAAAACTGACAGGGAACCTAACACACCTGTCAAAGCTTAAAAATAGAGATTTGTTTTTTCTCCTTTTCTGCACTTATATTTTTAAGGGGCTCTAACCCTAGAAAAAGGCAGAACACAGACAACAGTTACAGTTTTTTTACTTCTGGAATCCTTTTAGATGGTAATACTGCTTTGCTTTAAAAGGTAACCAAATCAGAGTTCTCAATGTTGCAACCAATTTGATGGAAAATATTTCTTCACCCAGCTGAAAGGAACAGTTGCTGTTTGTAATGTCTTTTTATGTCTGGTAAGAGAACATTTGAGAACATTCTCTTCTTGGAGAACCAAATTGCTGAAACCCCCATTTCTGTGACGTATAGCTCACATTACAGGACCTCAGCATTATCACTACAAGGTCCAACAGGCACAACAAGCATTTGCTAAACCCAGGATTTTTAACAACAAATCATTAACACTGCTCACTACATTGGTGCTGCTACAGAGACAGTGATTATAAAGTAAAAAAGGATTTCAGCTTCCCCATTTTGTAAGTTGAATTAAACTACTTGTGCTGATCTGTTTTGCAAGTTTCTTGCTACAGTGTTAAGGCTGGAGGGCAAGGGGAACCATACTGTTGTTATCCACCAGGTGTGCTGTAACAGGCACCTGGTGGGTGGGAAGGATCTTCAAGTGACAATATTTGGTAACACCGTAAATCTTACTTGTCTGTCTGTAGGAATTGGTGTGTCTTTATCAATGGCATCATATTTTGCTTCTATGGCACCCTAAATGTGGAAGAAGAATATTTGAAATTAGAAAGCCCTTGCCAACATAAATGCATACGACAATGTACACGGTGATATGAGAAGTTGACTGTTTTTGTTAGGGACTTTAGTTAGCAGAAGAACAGAAGATTCTGACAGCTTCATTTCAACAAAACCATCTTTATTCTCTTATTCAAGACATACAGACCTTCCTGCAGATCTCCTCAGCATGATCTTCAGTGATTTTCAGTTGTTTACGCAGAAAGCTATGTACTTTGTAGTTTCTCATTTTCAAGTCAAGAGGTGCTTTCTGTTCTATTAAAAGTCCATTTTAATGTTATGGGACAGGAAAACACCCATATTGTACACATGGCAAGTTGCTGAAGCATGAGAATTGACTCAGGCTACAAGCCTGACCAGCAGTTTTTCTTCACCTTTACCACTTTTTTGTTGATTGTATTACATGGTACTCAGAAGATCACATCCTAAGCTAAATCTCCTGAATAACCTAGGATGTGTTATCTCTAAGAATCTTTACGATCTGCTGCTGCGGGATTGCAAGCAAGGTAAATCCAAAAGCTGGGTGGTCCAGCAACTCTGTGAGGAGCCCTCATTTCTGAGACATTCCATTGTCCCAAAGGACTGTATTTGATTTATTTATTCTCCATTCTTTCTGGGAAGTGTATTGATGGGTAGGTGAGAAAACTACATTTTATGTGTTTTCTCCTGTTTTGTCCAACTACTGCTGACTGGAGCAGAAGGACTGTCAACTGCATTTGTCAAAATATTAAAAATCAAAACAAAAAACCCTGGTTAACTACCAAATGTCCGGGTATTATTTTCCACTAAAAATAATAATCAAAGTTAAGGGCAGTCAAGTTCATATATTCTTTCTGAAATCAAATAACCTTACAGAAAAGAAGCAAGTCTGTCAGAACATCATCTTTATTTGTACAGTTTCATGACTCATTTTGTTTGAAATTCCAGCAACCTGCCTGCCAGACCTTTAAACCCATTCCAGCTTCCTTGTCAACCCCACTCCTAACCCACTCCATCCCCAGTCAGTACTGGAACTTCTCCAAACACCCTTACCTCAACACCCAACAAGGCAGCCCAGGTTATGCCTCTCAGAAGGGGAGGAATGTCAATCCTGGCTTCTTTCCAAATTTGGTTTTTCTTGTATGGGTAGGCCTTCAAAGAGAAGAGATTTACAAAAAAAAAAAAAAAGTTATCATGTAACTGAAACAATTCAAACCCCAAAGCAGGGACAGTCTTTCCCTAAATGAAAACAGTGAATACAAGTTACACAAAAAGTGAATTTAATCCCTAACTGGAATGGCTGGATGAAGGTCTACTGTTTGGTGTTAAAATATACACTCTTTCTCATAAATGCATTCACGTGCTTTGGTATATACTGGATAGGTCTACTAATCCAAATTTGTAGTATGAATTTTTTCTTCATTATATCTTTCTTTTCATAATATGTATCCACCTTGGTATCTTAAACATTTCTAGTTTACCCCTGATAATGTGTATCAGCTCTCTCGTTCTTAAACAGGAATCTATCTCTCTGCATACATGTAAATTAGGGGCTGCTACTCCTTTACCCAGTATAAATCTCACATTTACACCATGACATTGCCATGTTTTCAAATACTTTACTGCTTGGAAATGCAGAAATGTTACAGGCATATTTATACCTATAATAGCTTAGTCTGTTATAAAATAAAGGATGTAAAATTATTTTCATCAGTAAATAACCAGTATTAGTAGCAGCTCCATTTCCATGTGGATACTTTAAAATCTACTTTTATATTCACCAGTACTGAGAATAATTTGTTCTATTTTTATTTTCAATCTTCTTATACTTCTGAAGGGTTTTTTTTTTTTTTTCCCCTTTCCTACTGTGGTCTCTTCTGCTTCCTTTTACAATTACTTGGTCTTTCAAAATCTTCCAATTAACAGACCAAATCGAATTATCCTGCACCACAAGGACTCCATACCTTCAACAGCCTGTCAAACAGGACAATTCTGTTTAGCTGGTACTCTGTGTCCCTCTCCCGGATGATCAGAGGAAGAGTAGCAGCTGCAGAGAGCTCATTGCTACTGTTGGAATGAGGTAAAGCTGGCTGGCTGGAAAAAAAAAAGGGTAGTTTATTAGCTCTTGACTTTCAGAACCAAACAAAGACATGTTATTTTTGCTTTTGGAAGCAGTTGTGTCTAACTGTGCAGTGTGCCACTCAAATTAAACTAATAACTCAAAATTCAGTGTGTTACAGATGTACCAATTTACACACATACTTACTCATCTTCAAGCAATGGATAAAATGCTTCTCCACCAACATCCTTCAGTCTCTGAAAGGAGAAAGAAAAATAATTTGTTATCGAATTCAAGTGGAAACCTTAGTGGAATACAAAAACTATTAAATAGCAATTCATTTGTCAAATTCACTAACTTGCCTTGAGATCTAAGCATTAGCTCAGTCCTTTGCCAGCAATGAAGCATACAACCTTCAACACTAAACCTTTTGCTAGTACAGGCTTTTGGAAGTTCTCCTGCCTGAAGATATCCACAAACCTATTTTCACACAAAAAGTAGTTTATAGGCACCATGGATTAACAGATCTATAGTATTACATAGTTCTTTGTTTCCTTGTTTTTCTATGTGGACTTCCTATCCAAGTAGCTGCAAAGCAACCACACAACTTGCTTTTATGGCTCTAATCAGGTCAGGAGTTATGCAAACTTGAATTCCTTTTAGGAAATACACTCAGCAAAGGTGAGTACAGACAAACATGGCTGGATTTTTGACTGAAGTTTTCAGACCTCTTATGGTGCATGATTAATGTTTAATGCCATGTTCCCTGCAGTGCTGTTTTGCAGTCCAGCCCTTAACTTGCAGGTACACAGCACACAGCCTGTTCCTCTTGGGGCTGACAGAAGAGTTCATTCTCCATTCATTGCTCCTCTTTTGATTATAAGCATCATGCTCTGCTCTATAAAAGGTGTCTGAAAAATTGCACAAGTTCAAAAACTTATTTCAACTAACGCTGCAAGGTTCAGTCTTGCATCTTCACAAAATGAGACTTCAGTATGTAATTATTTCCTGCTGCATTTATAGAAGTAGGCAGCAATATCCAATACAGATCAAAATGTTTAAAAAAAGCCTTTAAAAACTGCCCTCTAGTGAGAACAACAGCAGAAGCTGCAGTGCGTATTAGGTTTAAAATAGATGTTGCATGTTTTTAACCTCCCTCCTTCCTCAAAAGCCCCACTGATCTACTGAAGAAAATAACCCAAGTTCTTTGGTCTGCCTTGATGCATTTCTGTGAAGAAAAGTTCTACTGAAGAAATATATTTACACAGTGCTCAACACACTTAAACTCCAAAATTAAAGTGGCAGAGTCAGGAGTCACCTTCTTTTTTGTCTGAACCCCCGTACTATGAAAAGGGTTTTTAAAAAAAAAACCTGACAGAATTGAATTTGCTCCTATAAAAAGCAAGCTGCAAACAGTGCCGCATAGTTTCCCAATCTGACAGCAATAAAGCTCTACATGAGCAAAGACATGTAAACAATTAAAACATTTCAGTGATATATGCAGTAAATCTTGTAACTGATCATTTCACCAAGCCAAATCATGAGTTGTCATGTGCTGATTTTCCCAATGAAGATGTTAGAAAACTGTATTACAGCATTTTTGCAAAATGCTTTGAAAAGATCTTTTGAACTAGCCATTTCATGCCATATGTTCCAAATATTAATAATCAACTAGCAGAAAATTAGTAACCAATGTTAAGTAAAAAAGCTTTTGAGGAGCTGAAACTGAAATGAATTGGTTTACTTTTGGATAATGTAGCCATTGACAGACAGTAATTAAAGAATACAGAAGACATTCCCTAAGCAAATAGTTGTAGCAATTGTGGAGAATACCAAGTGGTACAGAACTAGTTGCACTACACTGGAACAAAGCAGGCAACAGAAAAAGGTAAAGGAGGCACAGAAAACAAAACATATTTACTAAGCTTTTGCAGGCAAAGCAACTTCATAGCACAAACCAGAATCTGACTTGGACACTCAGAAGTGTTCTCTTGGAATCAGTGACACTTCTGTTGGCAGAAACAGCTGCTGTTACATATTCCCTTTAAACAACTGTTTCTGCAGAGAAGAACATAAGAAATGCACAATATCACTCTTACATTTCGGAGCTGGCACAGTGGCAAAGTCACAGTTGTGTCATCTAGGAGGGAACTTCTATCCCGTCCTTGCCCAAAGCTCTCACCATCTTCTAATAAAAAGCTTCAAAAATGAGAACAAAAAAAAATCAGGTCACTTTATAACACAAGACTTGAGCTAGGAAAAAAAATCTCTTACATCAGGAAGTTTCCTCTTTAAAACAAAATATTAGGCCTTAGAAGTATACTGTATTGACTCTGCATGGCATGAAACCTGCTATCAAGGGAATGTACAATCACCTTAAGTTATTCAGACAGCTTTTTCTCTAAAATGGCACATTTCAGGTTTTCTATAACTTTGCTTTGCACAAAAAGAAAGAGTTATGAGTTATGGGATTAATAACCCCTTTTATTCCTTGTTCTCAAACAGAACAGGCCTGTCATTTATTGTAAAAAGCAGAAATAAAATATTATTATCATATGAAAGGCAGTTCCCATCATGACAAAAAGCCCAAAGTGAAAGTCTGACCTTTTCTCTTGCAGTCCATCTAAGGATACAAATGCATCCAAGAATGAGTGTACAGAAATTATCAAAATATTATGATATTTTGATATGATCTATCAAAATATTATGATATTTTGAAAGTAGACCACATGAAACTGATTTTCATAATTTAACCTAGCATTCTCAGTGTCACTTAGAGGTAGATTGCATTTTTGAAATTAACTCCTCATCTTCCAGATATACAGTATGTTGGAAAATATTTGTCCCTCAAAATTGAAAAGCATCTGTATTCACCTATGGGCAATGAAATAAGCAATCCCTCAAAAATCTCACACTAATTTTGATCCCAAAATAACACTTAAAATCTATTTCCACCATTTTTCTTTTAAAAGATACATTTTGGCTGCACACATATCCATCTGTTTTTTAAACACCGAAACAGGAGATTTATACATACGGGCACATAATTATGATATTAAGATCAGGTCATAGGACAAAAATATCAATGTTCTAAATAAAATTGCAACATGGGCAGCAGTAAGATAAAAGCAGCAATAACTAAAATGCTGTTACAAAGGTCTAAGCATTTTGAAAAAAAGCAATTAGCTGATCTGCTGAATAACTAGGTTCTCCATTCAGTACTGCTGCTCTGTGAAAGGGAATTCAGAATGTGAGAATTCACTACGTAACATAGTAAATTAAAATACAAATATCCCTCTGAAGCACAGTGAGACATTATTACTAAAACAATACTTCTGGAAAGTGTGCAAAATTCAGGGACTCCCATTTCAGTATTTTCCACTTCACCAGCATATTTTCAAATTTCAGAAAGCAATAGGTAGGAGATAGATACAAGGCACTCAAGTAATGCCTTAAACTGGATAAGAGGGGACGTGACAATTTCCTTCTGTTCAAGAAAGTAATTTTCAGTGGTTTTCACATGTACAGATTTTTAAACTAAGTATGTTCTCTTGTAATCACTAGTGTTCTCCATCCATCCATCCATCCCCTTAAAGTGCTCTTCCATCCTCACTTGGGAAGCGTGCAGACAGGTGGCTTTGATCGAATTATTTCCTTGTTGACAAGTTCTTTCTCCAAGTCTCCTCCAGCCAAACACCAGAGATAATAAACCTCTTCAACTGATCTTTCTGCTAGATAATCATTATCTTCATCTGTTGGGAGAAATGACACAGAAATAAATCACAGACTTTTAGGTAGTTTGTATTTCTTTCTACAACTCTAAACACATACTGTTGAAAAAAAAATATTCTGTTTGAAAGGTCATAACCTTAATGTGAAGTTAGAAGAAAAGTCACTTCCCTTTGCAAGTGCTCTTTAAAGAGATTTAAGGAAAGAAGTCATTTAAAAAGCAGGTATTTCTGCAGTTTGCCATGAACCCCTCACACTAATACATCGAGTGTGGACTTTTGCTTCCTGTGTGGTTTTAAACATAACAAAACAATGTTTTATGCATAGCACTAAGACTTAAAATAAGAAACAAATGATTCCTACTGAGTAGTTATAGTCTCTCTTCCCTTCACATACCACACTCATTCTAACAAGGCAAAAAATCTTTGTCTAGATGAGATTTTCTAACCATTTCCTAGGCTCATAAGAAAAAAACTAATCACGATTTAAGAGCCATAACATTTTCAACATACTGTGGTTTAAAACTTAGAACTTTAATCTTTTAGTCCAGAATGTGACCTCTTTCACAAAGACTTTGCTTTCCAGTACTTCCAAAAATCATCTTATGTTATGATCTAGAAGAATTCAATTATCAATAACAGAAAGAAATGACCTTATACATGCATGTGTCCAAATTCTGAAGGCAAAAGACGACACTGCTTTTGCAACATGGACTTGAATACTAATGTTGTTTTTTCCCCTGAGTTTGAAGCATAAAATTAAGACTTGACTCCTTTGGCTTGCAGACATACCTCAAAACATGTTTGTCCATGTTTCCCTCCATTAAACAACTTGTTGCATTAATCTAGTGTTGGAACATTTAACAGTCCTTATCAATAATTTGTTGGAGAGAAAATGCAATAAGACTTTATTTTCCTTCCCCCTCCAATGACATTTATCCCACTACCTGCTTTTACCTTTACATAATTGACTTATGTCTTCAGGTAGTGTTAAATTGGCACACCTTGGAGAAGATGAGAACAGACCAGCAGGTTTGTGGAAGGGAGGATATAGTGAGGATACTTCACTGAACAAACTGTCATGTAGCAATTCCTCTGGAGTTGGCCTTAAATTGAGAGAAGAGGATAAAACAATTAGAGCAAAGTGCTCCCAAAAATGTTGCATCTTGGCACAAAAGGTCCCCAGTAACAAATATTAGCAAGTTATTTCAAATTGTATTAGGTTTCAGAAATTTTAACAGCAAAAAATGTCTACCAACATTTTTCACTTCATGCAGCACAACAAACTAGTCTGTTTACAGTCCAAATTAAGATCTCTAATTCTTCTCTTTTAATCCCTGAAAAGCACAAAACCGAGAATTTCTTATAGGCAGCCCAAATGTCAGTATTCCAAACTAAGGTTCAGCAACAGTTCTTCTAATTCCACAGCAACCCACAGAGTTCACCAGGCCCTTGGGCTGAATACTTGCCTCTTAGAAGGCTGGAACGTAAGGCATTTCTTCAGTAGAGCTATGATATTTTCAGAAAGGTCCTGGAACATAAGCAAAATATGGAGGAGGTCTGTTTATTACCGTCTTAATTCAGCAAGTCACTTGGCTTAACTTTTAACATACAGGATATTCCTTTGAGGGCAGTAAAACTTCACACCTACACACATGAGGTTGGCTGTGTGAGATCCAAATTCTGAGGAATCAATTCTTCTCACCTACCAATTCTACATTTGATTTAGGGGAAAAAAATCTGAAAAATGTGCAGTGTATGCAGCCTTTCACTTATTTTTTAATTTAGATATTCTGTATCCTGCTGGAAACAATGCAGTGCCTGGCCACTTCCTTCTGCTAATAATCAGAACTCTTTCATATAATGTCCCAAAATACACAGATACTAAAATTCAGTAATCATTTTTGTGGGTAAGGAAAAGTCAAACTATATAAACCTACACTATCAGAATCTGTAAACTGGACCAGATAGAAGACTTAATTTCTGGAAGAAAAATACTTAATCACCAAAACTTCAAAGAAAATTTATAGCTTATTAAACTACTCAGAGAGCTTTAATATTTACTGAGACTGACAGCAATTTTAAGAAAGAATATTACGAGTGCTGGCTATTTGAAAGGATCTTAGATATGTAGTTTGGACTTCAAAATTTTTCATCATACCACAGTACAGTGAATGACCAAATGAATTAAAAAATGAATATGCAAAATACTATGCAGCAATAATAAAAAATTCTGGGTAAGACAGCATGGAAGAGCAAATGAGTTTCACAAACCTTAATAATATCAAGACAACCATGTTCTTCAGCCAACACAGTTACAATATCATCTACACAGCCTTTGGAAAACAAACAGAACAATAAAAAGTTAAAGATTATTAATAAAGTGATACCAATTAAACAGGACAACAGATAAATGTCCACTCAAATAAAAAGGACTTAACTTTGGCTTTTTATTGACGCTGCCACATCACTTGAAAGTGAATTATCAAAATCAGAAATGAAAATTATTACAACCTATGCAGACAGAAGCCAAGGAAAGTTAAGTAACACATCTAAGGTAACATTGAGTATCTATTTACAGGCTGATCCCAGAGTGTCTCTGCCAAACAAAGTAAAACAGTCTTTCAACTTATAAATAAAAAAAATTAAAAAAAAATCCATGGAAGAACTTAAGGGTACCTACATTACTCCTACAGCCATTTTTGCCTCTGTTGCTCCTTGCAGATAATACTAGCAGTATTTTAGAACTTCTTGTCACTACTTTATTGAACAAATACTTCCCAAGTCAGGACATGAATGCTTTTCAGTGGATAAACTAACAACTTGAATTCATATTGAAGTATATGGAGATGCCTCAGGAAGCCTTGTTACCAAATCCCCAAAACAGTCAGACTTTCAGCACTCAAGCACTAGCTGTTGAATGAAAAAGATATTTCTCCTGAGAGCAATTAATTTTAACAGTATTGCTGTTTGCTCTGGATAATAATAACTTACTGGTAAGGCTTCAAATTGCAAACTCATGCCTTTCCTCTTCCCATGGTTTATACATAAACACTGCCAGAAATCAAGTTTTAAAGGCCACAAGGATAGTCCCACTTCTTGACTCATCTACATTAAGCCAAAATTCCACTTGTGCAGTGATGTTTTATAGTTTGAAGGTGAAACCAGGGACAAAAATCTGAGTTTACTCAAACACTTCTCATCTCTCTCTATTTCTTTCTTCCTATTTGAGTCCTGCTTCTCCCTGCTTGGCCATTACTACACAGGCACTGTAGGAGACAGTTTCCTTCAGTGTCATCAATTCCTAACTCATTTCAGAAACCTCCTGCAACACAAACCAACAAAAAAACCATGAAAATTACCATCATTCTTAAGAATGTTTTCTTGTCTTTTATTTTTCTTTAACAGTTTGCCCTTACTGTAATATACTGCCAGCTCTTCCCAAGATTTTTCCCTGGCATCCACCTCCATACTTTCCCTAGAGAAGCCACACACTGCAAATGCCTATTTAAATCTGCAGATGAAAGATGACAAAGGTAAAGTGCTTTAGGTCTGAGCATCATAAGCTGATTAGTCTGTAAAGCTCTAATCATAGAGCTGCTTGGAAATTTGAAAAATTGATTTTGTGCTACTTACCTAACATAAGTATAAACTTCAATCTTTCTGCTATCTCCAAACTCTGAAATAACTTTCTCCCCTAAAAAATAACGAAGTCAAATTACACTAGAATTTGAAAGAAACAGCTACTACATGAAATTTTTTAGATAACATTGTATATCTTTATACAGAACCAGTGAAATAAGCTTCTACATGTGAATTTTAGACATATCAAAACTATATGCAATAATAAAAAAAAACTTATTTACCCCAACTATGGCAGACACAGTTTCACATCATGATATAGCAAAAATGCATCACTGATAACTTCTCTTAAAGGGAACTGCCTTGGAGTCAAATTCTTTTGGCTCCACAGGTAGCTATCCTTCATGGTTAACACATATACCAAGCATCCCACATACCAAAATGCATCCTATTCCTTGAACAATCAGTACTGTCCAGGTAGGAATGCTAGCATATTCTGATATTTGGGCTTGGGTGATGGGCAGGGTGTCGCTAACCCCACTTCAAGAGCAATCAAGTTAATGAAACTATTCCCCCAGAGTCAAAATCAAGATAATTATTCTTTTACATACCACACACAGCTCAAATAATATTATGCCAAGAGACCACAGATCTGATTTAGGGCCAGAAGGCAGAGGCTTCTCACACTGGGTGTGATCACTTGGTTTGCCTACTCCCTGTGCAATTACTTCAGGTGCCAGATATGATGGGTACCTAGAAAGATGTAGCAACATGAGATACTATCCTTCTGTCCAAAAGGCATGACTTCCCATTACACAATCAGAATAATTTGGCATTCTGAGAAACCAGAATACTGCCTATTTTATTCAGTCAAAATCTACACATCACAGCAAAATTTCACTCCAGCATACTGTTTGCTACAGAGAAGGTCAAATCCCAATCACTAGCTCTGGTGTTTTGTGAAAGGAAACCTCAGCTTTCAAAGTGGTATATTTATATATCTTATGGAAAACAGAGATTGAGTTTCAGCATTAGGATATTAAATAAAATTTTAAAATCACTTAATATCACTTTTCTTTTTGTCAACACTTCAGTATAATACCTAAAAAGTATGCAATCATGTTTTGAAAGGAAACATCAGCTCAGTATTTAATTTGAAAACAACATGACACCTCACAAAATCAAAAAGTGACAAAAACCCCTTTGTAACTGTTTGTAATACAGTATGATCACTTGAAAATAAATCATAAAATTATAAAGAGACAGAAACATTACATTGGGGGGCAAGAGTGAAGCACTGATTATGCACTTTTCTAAGTTTGAAATTAGGAATCCAAGTCATAGGGAAGTGTTAGTATCTGAATGCAAATCTAGGGAATGAAGACTGACTGAATAAAGGGAATCACAGAGTTAGGCTAACATTGTACCCATTCTCTATTTTTCATTCATCTCACCTGGCCAGATGACAACCTCTTTAGTGACATTATCAGATGCCTCTGTATAAGGGGTGCTCTAAACATGATTTATTTCCTGAAAAATTAAGTCTGTGATATATTTGTATTGTGTAGCTACAACCTTACCCTATAGGAAAATCAACATCAACACCTTGAGCAGTCATGTGGTAGAGTCCAAATTTAGCCAATTTCACATGCCCCTGCAAAGGGAAAAAATAAATGATCAAGAGCAGCAGAATCCAACACTGGAAAAATCTATGTTTAAATTAAAAAAGTTAAAACAAAATTAAAAAAAAAAAAAGTCAAACTGTATTAGATGTCAGAGGACAGAAACCTATAAAAAACACCTTCTTACATTTCTGCCTCATCTATTATGCACTGCAAGTTAAAGATGTGTTTATTTCTAATGCTTTTACTTCTCAAGAGCATTAAGTAAATCACTTTGCTTGGAACACATCAGAACTTTTTAAGTTACAGCATTATGTTCAGTAAATTAAAAGGCTTAAATACTCCACTGAACATTTTTTTTGTTCGAAAACTTCAAAATCCTGTTTGACTTCTAGAACTCCCTAAACATGACCAATATTCCCTTAAATCTTCCATTTACCAGCCTTGATTCTGCAGATGTCCCATCAATTCATTACCATCCTGCTCTCCTTGAGAGTATCAATATGTATTTTAAACAAATAGTTTTTCCAGGTACTTACTTTTTATTTCTGAAGACAGAAAGCTAACACCAAAACAACAAAAATTAGGCACAGAAGTTAAACAAAGCCTTATTTCTGCTGAATATTGAATTACACTCAGCCAGCCTCCAGATGGTGCAACGAGAAGGCTACATCAGAAAGCTTTCAAAGGGCAGGGGAGAGCTTAGAAGTTTATTGTCTCACAGCCCTCTTCTGTTCTTTTATTGATTTTAGGAGTAGCTTAAATCCTAGAGTACCTTTGCATGTTAGAGCATTATTATGATTTTCATTTATCTACAAGCATATAAAAATATATATATTCCTTATTTTTGGTGTTCCTTATTTTTGTCCTCTCCTTTTGTTGCCTTCCAGGGAGAGGATCTAGTTATTCTACCAAAACTGAGTAAAAAAGGATTGACAGAGGAGTTATGCAGATAAGTTAAACTCTTTAGCTGCTGGTTCTGATGATGAAACTGCTCTGAGGACACCATTAGCTATTAATTTCTCTCAGATTTTATGACCAGAAATTGTATTCCTCTCTGCCAATTCAATAGTCTGTGGACAGAATTGACAGATATTTACATTTGAATAATTTAACATGAACAAAAAAATATCTTGGTATCTTAAAAGGCAAGTATCATATCACCATGGAACACAAGGAATATTAGTGACAGTTAATTAGCCATAGGAAGTATTCTTCTATTCAAATAGCTAGGAAGATCTTTTAAGTAATTAATGATGAGAAATAGACTTAGATGACCACTTTGAGAAGGGAGATAAAGAGTGGTTTGGGATAGAATAGAAAAATAAATTTGGCAATACATTTCAAACTTAGGAAATGAGGGAAAATCTTAGCTAAAAAAAAAAATAAACAAAACCAACAACTTTCCAGATCTGCATTTTTTTCCCCAATGAAAGGACTGTGACTGTCCAGTCTCCACCTATGACACAGCACAGCACTTGTTAGCAGCAAACAACCCCACAGATTTATTCCTGTAGCTGTACCTTTCGATCCAAAAGAATATTGCAAGGGGAGAGTGCTCGGTGGACCATTCCATGCTTATTCATGTATTGCAAACCTTGCAAAACCTCATATGCTATGCATAAGATCCTTGAAGAACTGAAAAAAAACCAAACAAACCAAAAACATGGTATAGTGAATGTTTTCCTTTTTAATCTCTAAAAATGTAATGTTCCACAGCTATTCCAAACAAAAGTGAGACATTTACAATTCCAGAACAGTTTAAGGGATCAGCATTGAATATGGTGGGGTATGTTCAGTGCCATACACACATCTCCTCAAAATCCCACAACTAGGTCTCTTCACTCTGAACTGGTCTTTAGGAAGTGTAGAAAATGCTGACAAAGTGTAAAACACTCTCTTCAATAGAAACTCACCTAATCAGGAAAAAAAAAATCTCAACCCTCCCTTGCTTTTATTTGCTGTTCTTAAGTCTCCTACTGAGGAAAAAAAAAAGTTCACCTGAACAAATGGTTTTTAAAACTCAGATAGTAACTAGAGCTTATTCAGAAGACAGCAGAGAGTCCTAACTAGCTCATACGTATAGTCTTCAATCATCTCAAAATCTAAAAAAAAGGGGGGTAAAAAAAGCAGAAAAACTGCATTTTTAGCACATTTTGTTTCACAATCTGGGAAGTATCAAACTTAGCATCTTTGCAGAGAAACAACAAAGCTTACCATGCAAAACATTTTGACATATCTATGTATTTGGACAAAAGTTACCATTTCCTCTATAGACTGACAGCCTTAAAGAGGAATTTCTGTGAATAACTGATCAGGAATTTGTACAGATCATTATAAAAGGCTTACAAAGTGCACTCTAAATAAGAGCAAAAGGCACAGATCTCATATCACCTAGAGAGATTCCATTTAACTTCCTACTTTTCTCATTCTGTTCACTACCCCTAAGCCATTTCAGGTATTTTTGGTAACTTTCTCTCTGCAGGCACTGGTTTACACAACATCAAAAAATCAAAGCATATCTACTTATAAAGACCTAACCCACCCACAAGTTAAATACACCACAGCATCACTCTGTATTAGCTGTGTACCTTTCATCTCAGTCATTTTTGGGCAGAAATATGAACATGGTAAAAAAAATTACTTTACAAGTGAGCTTTCTTGTATACTTTTTTGTCTTCAATGCAAATACTAGTGATAATGGTGACAAACAGAATCCACTCTCTCATTTTCTGCTCAGTTTTGCAAAACAAGACATGGAAAATAAATGATGGAATATTCATGTTTCAAGTAAGGAAACAATTGCATGTGAACAATTAGTAAATCATGAGGTATTCTAGCCTAAACATTGTTTCTGTGTTAAAAAGTAAAAGTAAATATGGAATATTAAAAAGCCAGAAGTAAGAATTAATACAAGTTAAATTTGGTGGCCATTTGCTGGAGGCAGACAGTGTGCTCTGCTGGCACCAGGGGGCCTCAGCCACTCATTTATTCTCCATGTTCTCTTGCAATTCATTAAAAAAAAAAACCCAGAACCTGAGTAAATACATGAAAATACTGCTTTGGGATTCTTTGCTCTTCAGGATAAACCCTTCTTGCCATTACAACGACCAGGAACACAGGAGTGGTAACTATTTTTCAATGTGCATTCCATGCTCAGTGCTCTTAGACCCTTGATGCCATGCTGCTGGGCAGAAGTGTTGAGCTAAGTACCTCCCACTGGTCCTTCAGCAGAGAGGGAACTCTGTATACCAAGCTCTGCATTGTGCTGCTGCACCTTGTGTAGCTCTTCTTTATTAGGAAAAATGCACTGTGTGGTCAAAATCCATGAGATTTGCATTTAATCCCAAAGGGTCTGACAACTCCACTTACTGCTGCTGTCAAGCCCAAGAGATTTCTCTCCTTTATTCTCCCCAAGGCCAAGCTCAGCAGATGTTCCCAGCCTCACTGCAGACCCCTACCAAGGCTGTCCCCTTGCTTCAGTGGGTCTCAGCTCCATCCCAGTTTCTACAGCCACTGTCAACACTGCAAGCATTGCATTAGCCTTCAGCAAATGCAGAAGGTACACTCATAAAGCTGCTTCCAGGCTGCAGTGAAACTTGACTTTTAAAAAGCCCCTGTAAACAGGAAAAGAAAATGCTGTTCAAAATGAGGAGGAAACTTACAAAAATCCAGTGTTGGTGGCAAGCTCTGAGCAGATTCAGAAACTTATTTGCCAATTAGCTGGAAGTCTGTTTTTCAATAGACTAGCTACTTTTGATCTGCAATAAATGTAGCCCTGTTTAACTACTGGGCCTCTTGTACAGCAAAGGTATCAGCACCCTCCTTTAGCAGGAGGTAGAGAAAAGAAAAACAATAGCAAAAGTGCTAGAAACAACACAGGAGATGAAGTGGCCAAATATAAGTGTGGCAGGTTTGACACCAATCACACCATGGACCTAAGGAGCGCCATAATGGCAGCTGTGTGGCATGAAGCAGCCTCTTCATCTCAGCAAATGATGATCATGGCTGTGACTTTATATTACAGTAAAACAAATCACTCTTTACTTGCCCTGCTTAAGGCAATACTGTAGAATGCAGCAAGCAAAAGTGTGAGATGCACTGGTGTTTCCTAGCTCTTCCAACAAGACTTGTTTTAAGGTTATTTTCCTCTCCACCAGCAAGAAAAGAAACAGAAAATCCTTTGCAAAAGGAACATATGTTCAAGAAGTTGTCTGCATTTTAATCCTTAGTCTGGATACCAAAAAATCTATTCAGCTGTAGCCTAGTCAGCCAGGCCTCTGAACAGGGGTTCTCTTCAAAAGAGAGGATTGCACACAGGTATAAAATCAAATCTCCTGGTTTGGAGAAGAGTCAGCTATGAAAAGAGGTCATTTTGTGTTCCTTCACACTAGAAATCATGAATTAAAATACTAAAGATTAAAACTAATTCCAGATTTAGGGCATATAAATTGAATGCATAGAAAAGGAAGCACTAAGGAGAACTGTATTCCCCCCTCAGATCCATCCTGTAAGCAGGACAAGAAAAAAAACTCTAGTTTTTTTTAGAAATAAAGTTGATATGAGCAAGTTCAGCCAGCAGTACAAAATCCAGCATGGTTAAGAGAGGCATGTGCATGGCATTTGTGGGTGGAGAGAAAAGGGAAGTCGACTTAAAAACCCACAAAAAGGAGGATTGTTTTATTACCTCCAGAACTTGTCAGACCAAAAGCTATACCAGACAAATGACTAATTTCCACACTGTAATAGTACACAGGTGGCTGCACTGTGCCTTTACCAAAAACATTAACTTTTCCACTTAGCGGCCAGCCTAATCTCCAGTCTATTGAATTCTTACTGTTAAGGACACGAAAACATTTTCTGGAAGTTTATTCAGGAATAATGAACCTAACCTGTCAGGAAACAGATGGTTTAGCAGAGTTTCAATCTCTTGTGGTTCTGCAAACCCACTGATGAAATAAACTGATTGCTTTGGAGACTGTTGTCACTTTTTACATTCAGACAGGTTGGGTGGGGAAGAAAAGTTTCTTAGTGCACCCACTATGCTCCTCGATCTGAATGAGAACAGCTTCTGGGCCAGGATGAAAGGCAAAGTACCAGAAGAAGTTGGTATACCCAGAGTCCTACCTTTTTCAAAAGGATCAGATTTTAGCAGAGAGAGTGAGAAAGATGAATTATCAGCAACAAAGTGAAGACAATAAGCCCTGAAAATAATCAGGGGATTGGAGAGCTAAGAGTGAGCATACTCACCCAGTAGGGACTGAGCAGCACGTGGGAAGAAAAAGCTCACGAGAACTGCCCAAGCCACAGGTCAACATAAACACAAGATCAAACAAAATAATTGCTTTATTTAGAAATCAAAAACTTTATGACAAAAATGTGGTATGCTGAATTCCTGCTAAAACAACCCAACAATATTACCTATGTATTATTCAGTTTAAGTGGCTATTTTTTAAATTGTGGTTTGTGATAAATGGCAATGATAATGCAGCTGCTTGTAGAAGTGGGAACTGGACTCCAAGATAGGCTGCTCTAGGAACAAACAATTTATTGCAATGAATTATTTCCATTTTAGACAAAATTACTGGTCTTCCAAATCCTAAAAATAGTCATATTAGCTCAGACCACAAATTATTTCAGACCACTATACTTAAAAAAAAAAAAAAGGCAGGCAGATGCCTAGGAGAAAGGGAATACAGAGCAAGCACATATGAAATTTTGCTATTTTCCTGGCTTCCAACTTCTTCTAATCCAAGATTTCTTCTGGGTGAAACAAAAGTTTGCCTCCTAAGCATCATGTCTGGTAATATCATCTACTAGATCCTGTGGCATTCCACAGTCATCAAGAATTCTGTTAGTAAAATATCCTTGCTATTTCACCATTGCTTGACTTTGGAGCAGGAAAAGCAATTGTGGAAAAATGTATTTGACAGCCAGCAGCATGGTAGTTGCTGCATACACCACAGACTGCTGAAGGGAAAATAAAAACTACTTCATGCATGACATATTGAATACTGAAGAACAAGAGGACTGCAGATCACACAGTTGGAAATCAGAGACGGGTGGGGTCAGGAGGCTTGACTTATTAAACTGTCTGACCAAAAAAATTCCAACATGAGAAAAGAAACAATGAAGAGATGAATTTTCAGCATTCATGTCAATATCATGGAAGTTACAGGTTCTCACAAGTTTCTCTCCCTCCAGTTTAAAGGGAAATCAATGCCAATCCACACACAAATTCACTCCATTATCTTTAAGAGAAGTGCATTCATGACATTAACTGAAAATGCATCTTCTCTTTTTTCAGTGCTACAGTAACATATGAAAAGAGTAATTGGGTAGCTCAAAACATCTTCCTGTCTTCTTACTGTGTCCTGTCCTACCTTCTATACTACATCATCTCCCCTTTTGATGCAGAAGAAGCTATTACAGTGTTGGCAATCAGTCCATAGTGATTGTGCTGGTTGTGCAATAATTAATTTTTGGTGAAGAATGTGGGCATTAATCCCACTACCTCTCATAGGAGCACTGGCATCTGGCCAGTGTCAACCCATCACATTTATGTACCTGTGCAGCAGGACAGGAGCAAAAACAGCAGGCTGGAGCAAAATCTTGATGAAAGGAGAAATATTTCTGGC